ACAGTGAGTTAATTGAATCCATCAATTTCATGCATCTCTAGACAATATTATTTGTAGGGCCCTTATTTTTTAACATTACTTCTCTTCAAGTTAAAGGCATAGCACCACCATGAAAAGCTCAATATATTATAAACAATTTTAGATGGACAAATATTTCATAAATTTGGACAAATATCAAATTATTTTAATTGACTCATCCTCACACCTCTCCATTCCTTCGAAAGGCAAAACCTACTCCTCTATACACCAGCTGGGATGTAATTTTGCCGACATTTAATACTACAGTAATTTTTTTCTCCAACAAAAAAGGGGATAGAAAAGTCAATACTAGCCAATAAGTCATGCTGACTTGGTCAGAATCCAGACAAGCACAAACTTTGTGTCCCCATCAAGAACACGTAAATTTAGAGGTTTGACAAAGTGGAATATGCCCTACCTCCCCTATCAACTTCCCCATTAAAAACACCGTGTTGACCTTTGATTAGATTATCAACTTGGTTGATCAACAAAGAAAGTCAAGTGGAGATTTCCGTCCCACATTCTCATTCATTAGGAAAAAGGTTAAGCCTTAATTGGGACCTTCAATTCAATTATTATATAGATCTTTGTTTTTAAATTAAAATAATTTTTAATTTAATTTTTTAATTATTATATAGATCTTTAATTTAGTTTATATTATTTATTAATTTAACTTCAAATTGATTTTTTTATTAAAAAATAATTTATGTGTTTATTATTTAATGATAAAAAATTATTATTTAATTATCATGTGTCACATTAACAATGATATACATCATCTACTTTTATACAAAAAAATTAATTTAAAATTAAATTAATAAATAATAAGAACTAAATCAAATATTTTTTTAATTTAAAAATCAGATAAAAAATTTATATAATAATTAAAGAACCAAATTAACAATTTAACCTTAAAAAATCATTCTACCAATAATTCCTTACATGAAGTAAGAGCGAGATAAAGATGCTTTTTATTCCGCTTTACAAGACACTGATTTGACGAATCCTGTGGTCTGTGGAATAGGCTGTTTCAACCTTTGAATCGGCCTTTTATATTTTAATAATTCATTTTTAAAACTTAACATTTAGATAAAATTAATAAAAAATTTGAGTCTTACCAACCAATTAAATATTCACATATGATCTATGAATTATTGGTATTTCTTTC